AGTTTACAATCGGGATAAGCAGCAGCACTTAGTAGATCTGGAAGCAGTATTTAAGATCTTAGACGAACACAGATTACTAACCAAGGTTTCCAAGTGCGAGTTCTTCCAGGATAGGTTAGAATTTTCTGGGCACGTTATTTCGGAGGTTGGAGTAGAAATCGGCCCAAAGAAGCTGGAAACGGTAAAAGCGTGGCGTCCCCCGACGAATATCACGGAACTGCGGAGTTTTTTAGGGTTCGTTAATTATCTGCGTCAGTTCGTCCCCGATATGGCACGGTTAACTGCCCCACTGACGGACTTACTAAGGAAAGGGGTCGCTTTTACGTGGGGGGAGAAAGAGCATGCTGCCTTTTATGCCGTGAAAAATGTTCTCTGTTCACCGCTCGTCTTGTGTATCGCTGACACATACTGCCCATTCGAAGTAGTTATTGACGCAAGCGATATCACCATCGGAGCCGTACTGCTACAAGATTTCGGCAACGGCCTACAGCCTATCGCATACGAGTCACGAAAACTGCATCCGCCCGAGGAAAAATACCCGATACACGACCGCAAAATGCTTGCGATCGTGCACGCGTTCAAAGTATGGCGCTGTTACTTGTACGACGCAGTTACCTCGGGGCATTTCGGAGTAGAAAAAACACGGCAGCAGCTACAGCGGTATTATTCCTGGCCCGAAATGTTGACCGACGTACAACGACACGTGGCATTGTGTCCCACTTGTCAGCTCATGAAATCATCACGAAAGCGGCCGGCGGGACAGTTGCAGCCGATACCACCCCCAGAGCGTGCTTCGCAGCAGTTAACGATAGACTTCGTCACGGGGTTACCAGCCAGGGCGAGTGGGAACGAAGCGATCTTGGTCGTCGTCGATCGACTGACGAAAATGGCACATTTCGCAGCCTGCAAAAAATGAATCACAGCCGAAGAAACAGCACACCTCTTCATCTCCACCGTCGTTCGACTGCACGGGATACCAGCCGCGATCATCAGCGACCGCGACACGAAATTCACCAGCAACTTCTGGCGGAACGTGTGGCAGCAGTTCGGCACACGACTGCATTTCGGTTCATCATACCACCCCAAAACTGACGGACAGACGGAACAGACAAATCAGACCATGGAACAGCTCATCAGGGCCACGTGTGACGACCCGACCACGTAGGAACAACAGCTGCCACTAATCGAATTCGCGTACAACAACTCGCCATCCGCCACGACTGCCCATCACCCCGAAACTCCGCTACGGATACTGCGGGCCATTTCGCATATGCCACATGCTTACACCCGTCACCGCCCACCTCCTCCTCCTTGCTGATTGGTACGTCAGCCCCTCATTCCACGTCAGCCTACTTCGCCCTTACGTCCCGTCCACAAGCCAACTGCCACGCAATCTCCCAGCCAGCATGACAAGACCACCAACTGAACCAATCATCACCCCCGAGAAAATCCTGAGTCACAGAGTTCGCGACCCTCGAGGAGCCCGAAGGATCGAGTTCTTACTCCGCTGGAAGGAGCGTACACCCACCGAAGACAATTGGGTTCCCCTGGTCAGAATCGAAAACCACCCCGTCCTCACCGAGTATCTGCGCAGCCGAGATTTCCGGGATGTACACGCACTTTCGTAAGGAGGACCTCCTTAGGGGGGGGGGGGTAGTGTAAGGAAAATCCCTTTTCCTTACTTCGCATCCTTGCTCAACGCATACATCACTGTAGCACCAGAGTCAGCACCGTTACCATTCGCAATCCTCGCATCGACAATCCGCCCGCCACTTTCGCACGTCGCACCCCGACCTCACGACTCGGCGGGTAACCTGCGCTCCGGGCCTCCGCTTCGACACTTTTTCCCAACCTCAGTCCCAGGCTCGTCGCGCGACAACCGCAGTCCATTACCGTTACCACTGTAGTTTCGCTATATATTCTTCGCTCATGCCTTCGCTCATTGTACGCTTGCTTAGATAGTGCAATTCTAGTTCATTCACTCAATTGCACTCGTAAGAGTTAGCAAACATCTCGAGAATCAGTCGACAAGGGGTTATTACGGTTTGGCCGAACCTCCAGCGACCAATGAACCAATCGATGTGGCATGGGCAGCATCCAGCGTGTCAGGGATCATCAATTAGCACCCACGAACCTGGTCGTTAGCTCGACCATTGGCTGGCTCCTCTTGTCTTGGGGTCCATACACTTTAGCAAAAGGCCGAAACAGTTCTCTTGCCACCCATGGTTGCTCCTCCTGTCTCTTGTGGGTGCTATTATTTTTGGCCAGCTCGATGATGGGCCGTTGGATAAGCGATTCACCTATCCAACGATGAGGATGGAGCAATATACAAGATTTCCCGCCGAGATTTTCGAGCCCACAAGCCAATCCGTACAAGCTGTTCCACGAATGATCATCCTCGATAGTGTGAACAGATCGCCCTTCATTTCCCAAGAGATATTCTCTGAACTTGAGAACTCTTGAATGAAAAGCTTTGGAGACTGGAGATTGGAGAGTAATTGAAGCAGCACAAGCAGCTCCAGGAGCAGCACGCTTGTAAGGCTAGCTAACCTAGGGAGTGACGAGTGACGAAGCTTACATTACAGCAACAGCACACACCTTCTGTTCATTCGAAGAGTTGACACGCGGGAACTAAACTTAGTGTTAACAACAAAGCTCAAATCATTGGCGTCGTAGACTGGTTTGATGAGCTCCACGTACGATCTCCATTGCCGCGGCTGTAGCAAAAACGTTCACCGATGAAGCAGGCGTTTCATCAGCCTCCGTTTCACCCTGATTCGAATCCGTTTTCGTCAGCACGCCAAGGATATTGGGGAGGAATGGACAATGCAGCCTATCAGTCAAGCTACACGGTAATCTTCATTAGCCAACCAGGAATAGAAATGTCTTTCTCGCTAATATGAAGTTATCGCGAGTGCAAAACACCTGGTTTAGCTCACACTGAATCTGCCACCCACCGGATCTCTCTTGACAGCGAAGGCTTGCAATGCAGGCTGTATCTGATTCTCTCGTTTCAAAACCTATTCTCGTTTGCCCTTTTTCTTCGCTTAAGCAGCGTGACTCGCAATGGAGGAGCGCTACCACTATCCCTAACGGAAGGACGGGGAGCGTGGTCGGATTGGGTGACGCTGCGATTGGAGCAGCTATCAACGCAACGGCCGTGCTGGCAACGGAAGCGCAGCATTCCGCCGCAGCGGTCCCTTACCACGTCCAGGACAGGACCCCAGGTGAATCCGACGTCTCACTTGCTTCGTGATTCAACTCAGTGAGCAATGCAGCATTCTGCACCCATTCGTTACCCCGACCAGGACAGGACCGCAGGTAAATCCGATGTCTCACTCGCTTCGTGATCCAGTGAGTAATGCAGCATTCTGTACCCATTCGTTATTCCGTCCGGGTCAGGACATCAGGCGAGTCCGGCGTTTGAGTCGCTTTTTTGTTTCATTCAGTGAGCAATGCAGCATTTCGCAGCCATCACTAACCGCGTCCAGCGCAGTACAGCATGTGAATCCGATGTCTGAGTCGTTTTAAGCAGCAATGCAGCATTCAGCAAGCATCTCATACCACGTCTGGCGCAAAATAGCAGGTGCATTCGCGACTTGATAAACCAGGCTGCGGATCTGGAGGTCCGGATCGTTCCGACTTTTTGGGTTCGTTCCATTGCGTGAGGCTGAATCTTGATGGTGGTATTAACGTGGCTTCCTGCAGAGATTTCAGTGCTACAAGCGGATCACGATTTCTGGCATGTCACCTTATGTAATCGGCTTTCCTTTTTTTTTTGTTTCTTGCGTGCTTTGGCTCCGTACAGGTGGGTGGTCTCAGGCGGAAATATCCATCCCTTATTCCCAGGCCTATCCCACTTCCACTGCTGCTGCTGCTGCTACGTCGAGGATGCACCACCAGCTAGCGTACCAACAACCGCCGCAGAAGGGTCACCACCATTTGCCGTCGCACCAGCAGCATGTGCAGTTTCCATCACAGCACCAGCCCCACCAGCAGAACCTGCACCAGCAGCAACACCAACAGCACCAACAGCACCAGCAGCAGCAGCAGCAGCAGCATTTTCCGTTTCAGCAGGAACTTCAACTGCAGCAACAGCAACCAGTGCAGCCATACCAGCAGCAACAGCATCCCCTCGAGTATCATCATCAGCAACAGCAGCAACCGCTGCAACTGCAACAAGAGCAACGAGAGCTACCTCATCAGAAGACAAACACAAGATTCCTGCAGCCACATCCGAAGCAGCAACCTTCATGCAGATTCGACAATTCTCTCGGTAAAGAGTATGGGGAGACGGAAGGCCAGAGGTCAATCAGAAAGTCGAGTGTGTGAATCGAGTTCCGGTGTCCTCCCTTTGCATTCAACCCCACCTTCGTCTCGTTCTATCCCGCCTCTTTCCTCTCGCATCACACAATTGCCGCCAACCAATCTCATGGTTCTAACTCATTCATAGTCAGAGCTCAGTCACATGCTGCCGTCCTTTCCACCCTGCTGTTGCCACCTTGCTGCTGTTGCCACCATGCTGTTGCCACCCTGCTGTTTGCCACCATGCTGTTGCCACCCTGCTGTTGCCACCATGCTGTTGACCCCCTGCTGTTGCCACCATGCTGCTGCCACCCTGCTGCTGCCACCCTGCTGTTGCCACCCTGCTGTTGCCACCCTGCTGTTGCCACCCTGCTGCTGCCACCCTGCTGTTGCCACCCTGCTGCTGTTGCCACCGTGCTGTTGCCACCGTTGCTGCTCGTCATCTCCAGGGCTGTTGACTCGGAAGTTCATCGATCTCATCAAGGCCAGTCCCGACTGCTCCGTGGATCTCAACGCCGCTGCTGCCTCCCTCAGCGTGCGTTCCCCTTCCCTGATGTGAACACCCATTGTCACATTGCTCCGAGTGTTCTGTACCCTCTACGAAGTTCATCGATCTCATCAAGGCCAGACCCGACTGCTCCGTCGGTCTCAACGCCGCTGCTGCCTCCCTCAGTCTGCGTTTCCTGACACCCATTATGCCATTGCTCCGAACGTTCCGTGCTCTCTCCACCCGGAAAGTTCTTAAGGGTCAGTCCGGACTGCTCCCCGTGCCCCACCCCTTGCTCGTTACCCCAACCCCAACCACCTGCTTTTTTGTCGGCAGGTGCAGAAGCGACGGATCTACGACATCACCAACTTACTCGAGGGTATCGGTCTGATTAAGTGTGCTCCCCGCATAACCCTCCCCTGCTCCCACCCCCCCCCCCGCCCCCTCCCCCACCCCCACCTTAACCCCCAATCCTGCTGTGGTCACTGCAGGTGCAGAAGCGGCGGATCTACGACATCACGAACGTGCTTGAAGGCATTGGGCTGATTGAGAAGAGGGGCAAGAACATTGTGCGATGGGCGTGAGTGCACGGGAGGGTGGGGCGGGTGGGGTGAGTGCAGGGGGATGAGAAAGGCGTAGTAAGATGGGGATAAAGGACTGATTGAGAAGAAGGGCAAGAACACTGTGCGATGGGCGTGAGTGCATGGGGGGTTGGGGGTGAGTGCATGGGGGGGGGGCGGGTGAGTGCATGGGGGGGGGGGGCGGGTGAGTGCATGGGGAGGGGGGGGCGAGTGAGTGCATGGGGGGTTGGGGACGGGTGAGTGCATGGGGGGTTGGGGACGGGTGAGTGCATGGGGGGTTGGGGACGGGTGAGTGCATGGGGGGTTGGGGACGGGTGAGTGCATGGGGGGTTGGGGACGGGTGAGTGCATGGGGGGTTGGGGACGGGTGAGTGCATGGGGGGTTGGGGACGGGTGAGTGCATGGGGGGTTGGGGACGGGTGAGTGCATGGGGGGTTGGGGGTGAGTGCATGAGGGGGTGGGGGTGAGTGCAGTGCGTGGGGTGGTGGGGGTGAGTGTATGCGAGGAGGGGAAATGATTGCTTGGGGCGGGATGGGAATGGTGAGCCTGCGAGGGGTTGGGACTCTGCTTGGGTTCAGGACTGTGTGAGGTAGAGCTCTGAGTCAGATTCCTGAGACGTATCAAAACTGTGTGCTCCGATCCCCCTCCCTGTGCTATGGTAGACAGAGAGGTTGGGGCTTCCTTCATACTATCTTCTCGAACCCCACTCTCTGTGCTGTGCTTGTTTGAGACAGGGGGATGAACCTGCAAGGGGAGGGAGCATCACGCATGCAACACGACGTGACCAGTGCCCAGGTGCGGTGCTGTGCGGTGCTGTGCTTGGTGGGGGGCAGAGGGGGGTGGGTGGGAAGGGGGAGGGGGGGGGGAGTGAGGGGTATGGGAGGGTGAAGCAGGGTTGGGGAGGGTTGGGTGCGGGATGTTATGGATTCGACCTGGCATGTTGTCTAGTTCTCTTTTCCCACCTTCGCCCCTGTCCTGCGCTTCCTCCCTTCCCACCCTTCCCCTCCTTCTCCCCCTTCCCAACCTTCTTCCTTCCCCTTCCCGCCATTCACCCCCTTTCCTTTCCCCCCCGTTCCCCCTTTCTATCCTTGCCGACCCTCCCCCCCCCCCCCCCCCTCCTCCCCGCCATATCATTGCATTTCCAATCCAAACACTGGCACGCCTTTTGCTATTTCTTTTTGTTTGTTCTTTCTGTTCTCGTGAAATCAGTCCATCCACTATTTTCCGCTTCCATCACGCCCGTTTTCCATGTCCCACACGACTTCAATCAATAGCTACTTTTCTTCTTTTCCTCGCTCCTCTGCCTCTCTGCCTCCTCCACCTCTCCTCCTCGTCCGCCCCTCTCTATCCCTCTCTCCTTTTCTTCCTCGTTCCTCCTCCCTGTGCTGACACCAGGCTGAGCTAGACGAGTTGAGGCAGCAAGACGGGCAGCTGGACAAAGACATCAAGTATGCACTCCCTCTCCCTCCTCTCCTCTCCTCTTCCTCTTCCTCTCCTTACCGTCCTCTCCTCTCCTTGACCAGTTTATCTTCATCATTTGATAAAATCCTGATATGATCGGATCTGGAGCGTGAGACAAGGAGAACAGATTTCTGGTGCCGTTTCTTTGTGCAGTCGCTTTTTCAGACATAATGAGTGGCTGCAGCTGTCTTTCTCAGGCGCATTGATGGTTGAGGCTGCCTTTCTCAGACATGAGGAGATGAAGCTGCAGCTGCAGCTGTAGCTGTAAGATGTCATGAGACACACAAGTTCTGAGGCGTGTCATAGTAATTTGTCTCCCCTTTCTGCTACCTTCCCCTCTTCTGCCACCTTCCCCCCTTCTGCCACCTCCCCTCTTCTGCCACCTCCCCCCCTTGTGCTACCTCCCCCCTTTTGCTACCTTCCCCCCTTCTGCTACCTCCCCCCTTCTGCTACCTCCCCCCTTCTGCTACCTCCCCCCTTCTGCTACCTCCCCTCTTCTGCCACCTCCCCCCGTCTGCCACCTCCCCCCTTCTGCCACCTCCCCCCTTCTGCTACCTCCCCCCTTCTGCCACCTCCCCCCTTCTGCCACCTCCCCCCTTCTGCCACCTCCCCCCTTCTGCCACCTCCCCCCTTCTGCCACCTCCCCCCTTCTGCCACCTCCCCCCTTCTGCTACCTCCACAGGGCCATGCAGGAGCGGCTACGGTTGTCGGGCAACGACGGGGAGAAGAAGCAGTGGATGTTCGTCACAGAAGATGATATCAAGGGCCTTCCGTGTTTCCAGGTAGACCGTGTCTTGTAACTGTTGCTGTTATAACATCCATCCTGAAATTTTGTGGAAATTCTGGCATCCCTGTTAATGCATGCATTGGCCCATTGGTTGATTTCACTTGGGCACCTTTTCGTTATATCTTCCTTCTCTTGCCCCATCCACCCACGCTTGCTCCATGGTTCCTTTCTTGCCTCATCCCCCTTCATTTGACCCATCCTCCCTCCCTTGCCCCATTCCCCTTCTGCTGCCTCATCCGGCCTCCATTCTCCATTCCCCCTCCCTTGCCAATCGTCCATTCTTCCCCCTTCTCCTTCTTTTGCCCGATCCCCCGTTCTTTCCCCTTTCCCCCTCCTTTTCCCCGCCCCCCCTCCCTTTTCCATCCCCCCCTCCCTTTTCCACCCCCCCCTCCCTTTTCCATCCCCCCCTCCCTTTTCCATCCCCCCCCTTCTTCCCCATTCCCCCACCCTTCATCCTCGCTCCCTTGCATCCCAGAATGAGACGCTCATCGCCATCCGTGCTCCGCATGGAACCATGCTGGAAGTTCCTGATCCTGACGAGGTGAGTCCCGATAGAGTGAGTGCTGACGTGGTGAGTCCTGAATGAGTGAGAGCTGACGTCGTCAGTGCTGACGAGGTGAGTTGATAGGGTGGGTGCTGACGTGGTCAGTGCGGACGTGGCAATTCCTGATGGGGTGATTTCTGATGGGGTGATTTCTGATGGGGTGAATCCTGCTGATGTGATTCCTGCTGGTGGTGCTCTGTGCCGCCTTATCAAAGTATGGGTACCATCCACATCATGTGCCACTATCCCATCCGCATCATCATACCTAACGACCCCTCATTACGCTCACACCTCCGATGCCCCCTCTCCCCTCTCCCCACATCCGCCCAACTCCTCCCCTTTTTCCTGCAGCAACCAGTACCAGATCCTGCTGCAAGTCTCAACCCTCCTCTCTCCTGTCTCTCTCCCCCCTCCACCCAACTCCCCCCCCCCTTCCCATGCCCAATCTCCCCTCTCCACCCGTCCATGTGAGTCACACAGGCAGGCAGGGCGCACAGCAGCCCATCGCCATTCAGCAAGCGCTATCAGATCCTGCTTCGCAGCTCAACCCTCCCTCCTCCTTCCTCTCCCTCCCACCACCCATGCTCCATCCCCGCTGTCTTCCCGTCCTCATGTGTCACACAGGCAGGCAGGGCACACAGCGGCCCTTCGCCATGCAGCAAGCGGTACCAGATCCTGCTGCGCAGCGCCAATGGCCCCATTGATGTCTACCTTGTCAGGTATGACCACACCATCCTTACTCTGCCTTGTACCCTGTCTTTTCCCCCCTTCCACTCCTCCCCCATCTCCTCCCTGCTTTCCTCCCACCTCTTTCCCCTCCCCCCACCCCTGTATCCTTCTCTATCCTTCTCTAATCCCGCTCTATCCTTTCCGTCCCCCAGAGTATACCTCTTTCCTGCCTTCCCTCCCCACCCCCCGGGCTCCCAAACTCCCTGTTTCTCACTCGGTCTCCACTCAGCTGCATTCTGCGATCCCTCATTCTTAAGGTCCTTTCTCTGACCTCTTGTGGTTTTATTCAGCTGCACTGTTCTCTTTCATTTCTGAGATGCCCTGGAGTTAAGCTCTCTCTCTCTCTCTCTCAAACGGTCCTTTGTATTAATTCAGCAGGGGTACAAACATGCGGTGCTATCCATGATAACCTCCATCCCTTAAGCCCCAAAACTTACCACTCTTCACCCCCCCCTGAGTGACCCTCTAGCCCTCCAGCGTGTGGAGGATGTCCCCCAGGTGCAGCGGCCAGGGGTCCGCTGCCATCTGGGGGTGCGCTGCCTCGATCCCAGCCCTGGCCTTGGTGTGCAGGGCATTCGCATGGGAGCGCTGGAGGGCCACTGATTAGCGCTGGCTGAAGTGGCAGGCCATCTTCTCGGCCGATTTCGCCAGGGGGTTGGCCCTGAACCGGTTCCTAGCTGCTGCTGTGGCCAGCAGCTTCAGGAACGCAGTCGTGGTGGGCGCGTTTGCCCCGTAGGTCTCGACGGCTAGGGCGCAGAACACCACGTGTTCCGTGTGTCGGTAGTACTCCCTCTCCTTCCGCCTCTGTGCCTCTCTAGCAGCCCAGCCTAGGGGTTTGCGGGCTGTGGGGTCCCGGTTCTGCAGCACAGGGTCGGTGATAGTCGTGTCTGTGATCCAAGTCTCTCCACTGTCCGGGTCGCGTACAATCACATCGGCTTTCTTCGGGTCATCCGGCGGTGAGTACATGGCGTTCTCTAGGTATACCACCAGCTCTGCTTCCCTTGCCATTTTAGCCACGGCAAAAGCTAGCTGGTTGTGTGTGCGTATCCTGTCGGGGCTGCAGCGGAGTAGGTGGTTGGGTAGGCTGCAGTCGGCTACGAGTTCTCCACACTCGCACACAGTGGGTACATTCTGGCGGATGCCCATGCGGAAGGCCAGGGCTGCTCGGAATTGTCCTGGTGAGAAGCAAAGGTCCGGGGTCAAAGGTAGGGCCTGAAGCCATGCTCTTGCTCCCTCCCCTCTCAGGCTGATGAGGCGGAGTGAGTGACCCATCTCGAGGGCTGACAGGATGGTGCGTGACTCCTCTGTCAAGGCGTCGGCCTTTGCCGCGTGCACCTCGTGAGAGAGGGCGCGTTGCAGCTGGTCTTAGGACGGGGTTTGCTGCTCCTCCCGGAGGTATTGTAGCGCCAGCGGTGGCAGGCGCCCCTCCATGTCCTAGATGGTTACCGAGTGCGCTGCGGACGGCTGCAGGGTGTTGTTGTTGGCTCCCAGTGCCGCGGTTGCTGGTAGGTAAAGGGAGCGGAGCAGTCGTAGCGCCTCCGTCGTTGATGCCAGGTAGGCCGGTGCTGCTTCTGTTGTGGGGTCTGTAAGTCCCAGTCCGCCCAGGGCGACTGGAAGGGTTGCTTGTCGGAGCAAGAAGTTGAACTCGACTTCTCGGCGTGGCGGTTGAATGCTGACGGAATTGAAACTGAACTGATTGATTAAGAAAGAAGGCACTAGGCCTTAAGTACAAACGAGGTTGGGATGGGCAAGGCTAGGGAAAGGATGGGATGGGAATCCTAGCAAATCTCCAATTGGTGAGTTGGCAGATTTGCAGGATTACGAAGGAATCCCAACCAGATAGGGTTGGGATCACAAACTACCCCCAACCCACAAATAACCTACGCGATATAGAATATAGTACACAAAGTGTTGACAACCTAATTCTAACACACCCCCTAGGCTGCAACACATCAGCCACAAGGAGGCCCAACACCCATGGCCGAGAGGAGGCGGTAATGATCCTCGCGAACAAGCGACTTGGTAAACAAGTCAGCAAGGTTGCAGTCGGAGGCAATGTGTTCAGCCTTCAGCTGCTCGCGCTGCACCAGCTCCCGAAGAAAGTAGTGACGGACTTCAATGTGCTTGGTGCGGCAATGGAAAACGGGGTCTTTGGTGAGATGAATGGTGCTCTCGTTGTCACACCAAAGCGTTGGGGTTGGTTGGGGATACCCCAGTTCTGTCAGCAGGAAGGAGAGCCAACGAGCCTCCTGTGCAGCCATGGTCCCGGCATACAACTCTGCCTCACAGGTCGACAGTGAGACAGAGGACGACCGAGTGGAGCGCCAACTTACAACCCCAGTGCCAAGGGTAAAGCAATACCCTTGGGACGAGCGCCGATCACTCTGGTCATCAGCATAGGATGAGTCACTGTACCCCTCAAGGCGAACCGAGGAAGTGCCGCCAAGTGTGAGCACATAATCCTGTGTGCCTTTGAGATAGCGAAGAACCCGCTTGGCGGCAGACCAGTGGTGGCGAGTGAAGCGACCAGGTGCAACGTAGCGGGACAGTACACTGACTGGATAGGCTAAGTCTGGTCGAGTGCACATCATCGCGTACATGAGGGATCCCACAAGCTCGGGGTAAGGCTCGTCACAGGGCTCAGGTGAGGGAACGGAGGGTGCAGTGAGTTGGTGTTGCAGAGAGAGTGGGGTGGGCATTGATGCTGCTTCCTGCATCTGGAACCTCGTCAGAACGTTGTTGATGTAAAACTTCTGCGAAAGGGTGATGGTGCGGGCTGTGCGATCACGTGTGATTTCCATTCCCAAATAGTTCGTCAGCTTCCCAAGGTCCTTCATGGCCAGCTTCTCACCAAGTGCGGTTTTGACTGCTGCCAGCTGTGTCTGATCCTTGGTGACAAGGATCATGCCATCGACATAAACGAGGATGAAGAACCGGGAGGGTGTTGCTCGGATGAAGAGGTTGGGGTCAGAGGTGGATGGGTGAAAGTCGAGGGACCCTAAGGTGCTCTTTAGCTTGTTGTGCCATTCCCGGGGAGCTTGCTTGAGGCCATACACTGGCCGATTCAGCTTCCATACAGTGCCTGGTGGAAAAGGAGTTGGAAATCCTTTGGGCCGCTCCATATAGATTTCCTCTCGAAGGATCCCTTGCAGGAACGCAGAAGACACATCCATGCAGTCAACCTCCATGTCATCTCGAGCAGCGACATCGAGAAGGGTGCGCAGTGTGGGAGGTTTGGCGGTGGGAGAGAATGTCTCAAAGAAGTCCAGTCCACGCTTTTGGGTAAATCCCTTGGCACAGTACCGGGCTTTGAAGACAGGAAATTCGCCTGGAAGTTGTTTCACCCGAAAGACCAATTTTCCCTTCACAATGTTAACGCCGGAGGGAGGAAAGACGCCTGTGAAAGTTCCTGTGTGAATGAAGGCCTCACATTCTGCGACAATGGCCCCCATCCACTGAGCGGCGTGAGGACCAGAGACTGCTTCAGCATAGGTGAGAGGTGTGGGGATGGAAGGGTTGTCGGAGAAATTGAGGGTGGGAGAGTCTACGATGTCTGGAAAGAGGGAGCATAGTGCGTGGATGGCTGAGTCGATATCAATCAACTCCTCATGTCTGTCTTCAAGGAGGGATGACATGAGAGAATAATCACCCCCGACAGGAGGAGGATTGAGAGAGACGCGAACGGAAAGGGAGAACGGTTGTGGAGGTGTGCGAGAGCGGGTGCGAGAAGCGATGGGTGAGGGAGGCGGGGCCGGAGTAGGCGTAGCGGAAGGGGAGGTGGGGGTGGGAGGGAGAGTGGAGACAGGATCGGGATCAGGGGTGGGAGCAGGAGGAGGAGGAGCTGGGTGACGGTGTTGGTAGGTTTTGAGAGGAACGGGCTCGGTAGGAGGAGATGCGAGAGGAGATGGAGGATGGGTAGCGGAGGAGGGAGGGAGCGAGGGAGACTGTGTGGTACTGGAGGGGGAAGCGGGTGATGGGGGATCAGAAATGGTGGAGGGAGCGGGAAGAGGAGGAGATGGAGTGTCGGGAAGAGGGAGACTGTCAAAGTCAGCCCAAGTAAGAGAGGGAGGCGGAGGAGAGGGGGAAGCCTTGGAGGAGGGGTAGAATGGGTGGGACTCATCAAAGTAAACGTCTCGGCTGCGATAGAGCTTGTTGGTGGAAGGATGGAGGAAGAGATAGTCTGGCGAGTCTAAGTTGTGCCCGAGGTATACGCACGTGATCGTTTTGGGAGCAAGTTTGCCGCCAGCCGCATGACGGGCTTGGGAGTTGAGGAGGACATAAGAAGTGCACCCCCATACACGAAGAGGGCGGACGGATGGCTTTTGACCCGTCCATAGCTCAGCGGGGATGGTGTGGGTGTGATGAGGATGGGGATGGAGATTGTGGAGGGCGGCAGCATGAAGCATGGCGTACCCCTAGAGAGAGGGAGGGGCGGAGGCGTGCGTGAGGAGGCAGCGAGCAATCTGCACCAATGTACGGTTCCGGCTTTCGGCAATACCGTTCTGTTGGGGACTGTCTGGGAGAGTGAAGGTCTGACGGATACCCTCAGTGGAGCAGTAAGCTTTGAGAGTGTTGTTGCGGAATTCACCGCCGCCGTCAGAGTGAAGGACCTTGATGGTGGTTTTGAAGTGTTTATGAGCCTGCTTCGCCCATTCAATGATTACGCCTGGGGCTTCGGATTTGGAGGAGAGAAGGTGGACAGACACATAGCGGGAGTAGTCATCAATAATGACAAGGAAGTAAAAGTGTCCACCGCGAGAGCGAATAGGAGCTGGGCCCAAAAGGTCCATGTGTACGCGATCGAGAGGTGCAGCGGAGATGGACTCAATGGGGGGATGGGGCTGCTCACGAAGCTTGCTCTGTACACAATCAAGGCAAGGCGGCCCGAGGGTGGAGGTAGGAGAGGGAAGTGAGGTTGGAAGCCCGTGGAGGAGTTGTTTTGTGGCTAGGTCTGAAAGCGCGCGAAAGTTGATGTGGTCAAGGCGGTGATGAAAGAGCATGGTTTTGTCGGAAAGGAGGCGGCAGTGACAGGTGGAGGAGTCAAGGGAAGGTAACGGGAGGTTTGTGAGGGAGCACGTTTGAATGGGAGGTACTACGAGCGTGTATAGGTTGTTGGAATTGAGAGTGAAGCGGGCTAGATGAATGCCGGTTTTGGCGACAAAGAGGTCAGAGTAGTCGACATCATTGGGAAAGATGGTGATGACTCCTGCTTGTTGGATTTCACTTTGTGCCAGGAGGTTGTGGCAGAGGGTGGGGGCACAGATGCCAGT